TATGGTTAGGGTTAGAATAAGTTGACATGTACTTGAAAAGTTACTTATAGTCAGCAGAATGTTCAAGGGGGACCATCAAAATAAAGTCTTACCAAACTCTCATTTTGATCTAAATCCCTTGTGAAATAGAAGCACACTTTAGCATACTTTTAAAAAGAATATAGTAAAGAGTGAACTAAATGTAATGTTTTCAGACACTTAACTGCATATTAATTGCAATTAAAAGAAAATATATTGTAGTTTACATTTATATTAAATGCAGTTGGTTGAACCTTACACTCTTAAAAATGCTGGGTTAAATACAACCCAATTGCTGGGTTTGTCCCTATTTCTAATTACTTCTGTTGTCTTTGAAATATGGTTAATGTGTACTTTTGAATATAATTACACATTTATAAAGATCAAGTACGTTAGATGTGTACACTGTAAAAAATAAGTGTAATTTTAATTGTAAAATTTTGTAAAAACGCTATGGAAAAAAACTGTTAATAGGTTAACAGTAAGTTCCCGTACTATGCACAGGGAAAAACTGTAAAATATCTAACCAGACATTTCATGTAATTTTACAGTAAAATGCTGTTAATTTTACAGTTTTTAGAAGTAAAAATAACAAATCAATGTATAATTTACAGTTAAAAACTGTAAACTGATATTCCCAGAATTCCCTGCATGACACTCCACATTTGAAAGTATTTTGTTTAAATAATTATGTTTTTTAAATAGTTTTGTTATTAGTTATGTATATTTGGGCTTTATGTTACATCTTCTGTTGTTTAATGAAAGTTGAATGCATTATTTAGGTATCATGTGTGTTACCATGATGGTGTTTTGTGTTTGCATGAATGACTCTGTGCACCTTCTATATATTAGTATATACTTCTGCTTGTGGCGAAGCTACTCGTGATGAGCTTTGATTCTTCATGTGGCTTTCTCTTTTACCACCTGCATTATTATGGTGGTTGTCAATATGTTAAAGGTACAAAACAGATTTTAATAGCAGTCTGCATTGTTGAATTTACTGGTTTACATTCAAATTTTCTTGTTTGTAAATTACAGTTACTCTTTATTTTAAGGTGTCTTTGTTACAGTGTAATTATACATTTAAGTACTGAGTAATATTAATTAATTACATGTACTTACTACATGGTTAGGGTTTGGCTTAGGGTTACTTGCATGTAATTATGCATAATTAATTGTTATTATAACAGTAAATACATGTAATGTGTAACAAGGACACCTTAAAATAAAGTGTTACCCATTCTTGTTTAAAGGAACAAAAGATTTATTTGAGTCTTTCAATTTGACACTATTACAGAGCGCCCCTCTTCAAGGTGCACTGTAACTGATGTTTGTAATTTGAACAGTATTTTACTGTAATATGTAGAGTAAGATACTGTAAAATGTGTATACAGTATTTTACTGTAAACCGCAAAGGATTATGGGAAAATATACGGTCACTACTGTATTTCCTCACTACTGTAAATCAATTTACAGTAGTGAACTTGCTCACGAAAAACTGACCAATGGCAGGCGAGTTCTTTTTTGACTGTTTGGTGGAAGTGGCTGTAAAAGGACAAAAGAGAAATGCACCGTTAACTCGACGAAAGGTTAGTATATTATTTCTGTTTAATGCAAATCTGCGATATTTTAAGATGTTTTCAGAGGTCAAGATTTGTAATTTGTACTTTTAAAAATAAAATGTTCAACAATTAAAAATAATATTATCAGAACTAAAGCTCATGAGTTATTGTGTGGGGTGGGGGGTGGGGGGGGGACTGGGTATGGTACAAATCATGGTTTACAGTGCAGTACCACAATTGGATTGTTTTTTACAGGTACATTTTTTTTTAAACTAAATGAAAATAAACTCTACAGTACTGATACTGTAAATGAAAATACGGTAATAATACTGTAAATTAAATACAGTAAAGACATTATTGTACTGTAAATGCAATTACAGTACTAATACTGTAAACATTTTTACAGTAAATTACTGGCATCCAGCTGCCAGTAAGTTACTGTAAAATTTACAGCAACCTATTTACAGTGTGTACTTAAGTGTGTTAAGAATCTTATGAATGTGAACTCTCTTCAAGTATACTTACTATAAGTGGCCTTTTTCAAGATGTATATTATCTAAAGGTGCGGGTTTTCAAAAAATAAACTATTTGATTTGCTGACGTGTAGAAGAAATACACACCACGTCTCTTTAATCACTGAATATTTGCTAGGTCAGGTTTAGGCCAGTGTCTGCTGAAGATCAAGGTGTCAGTTTAACAAAGGTAAAGCTGTCCAGATGGAGAAATGCGGTCATTGAGTCCAGGTGTGAGAAAACCTATTCTCTCCCACCCGTCTAAAACACTGGGGAATCTGCGTCCTTCCCAAACCTTCGAAACATTCCTGATCTGTGTGAGGAAGTCACAAACCGCCTGTCCCAAGCTGTATTGTCTGTTTTGTGCACACATACTGTAGACTCTGAGGAATTTATGGGTTCAAACGGATAAATCTAACTCACGGTCAGTATCGTCACCTTCAGTTTCAAGTCTACTGCAAACTGGGATGGCAAATCAAAGGAAACTAAGACTGTATATTCACCCAACAATGAAAACATTTTAAACTCATGTGACTCTTTTCTTTCTGTAGAACATGAAGATATTTGAAGAATGTTTTTGCCCACATCAGGGTTATTATCATTAACCAAAATGCATTACTTGAAATAAAACATAAAAAAAAAACTTAAATGTAAACTCTATTTCAGCTAGGCAACATTTCTCATTTTCATTCCGTACTAAATAAACTTTAGTAAAACGAAGCTACATAGAAACGATATTTTATACAATATAAAAATGACAAGAACACCCAACAGCGCTAACGGGTAACTCTCTCCAGCTACTGCAGATCTGTTTGCTAACTCCTCTATTATGTGTACACAGGGCGATTTCATTTTTTTTCACAATTTAACATGTTATGACTGGATATGTCAACATGCCCACGTTATTAAACCAATATAGTTGTCATGTCTTCTCAGCTTTTATTTCATTTGATGGGGAGCAGGTCACCATTAGAAAAATTTGGCCAGCATCTGTTCTGTTAAATAGCTTTTGTCATTTCTCTGGTGTCCTTCCAAAGGCTGTTTCAGAACAACTGCCGTAACAAGTGAGAGTTAAGAAGTCTGTTGGGGAGATGTGGGCCTCATTTCTGTATAGAAAGGAATCAGTATCACTTTCATTATAATATATCACTCTTCAGTTTCTCACTACAGTGCTGTACTCATGCGTATTGTTTGTAGATGTGTGTGTGTTGCGTTACAATAGCTCATGTTTTACACTTTCTCTATAAATCTGGGGTGCTTTTAACAACTTGTCAGTTTGGGACACATTTCAAGAATCCAAAGAGACTGTCGGTTTAAAAATTGCACTGCAGTTTGGATGTTATTGCATTAAATGAAATCCCCTGCTGCAGTCAGAAAACAGTGAGCACGTGGCTTCTCCAAGTCTGCGATGTATTAACATTTTCATGTGGTGAACAATACAGTGCAAATATGTTAATGAAAGTACATTTCTCTCCTATGCATGGAAGCCATTTGGCAGTTGAGATAAGTGTGCTTATCTGAAACTGTTCACAGATGTTTCTCTGTGGGGAGCACAGCGAACGAAATAAAATGGCTAAATTAAATGATTTAAATTCATAGATTAAATGTTTGATATTCGTCTTCATTGTGCATCATAAATTGATTCAGGAAAAATAATAGATTTCAGTTTAAAATGATCAGTTGTATCAATTTAGAAATGGATCATGTATGTCTTAAACACAAGCTCCAAAAATCATTAAAAAGTCAGTTCAGCTTCTGCACTATTTTCCAAACCTTCTCAAGTCTCTAGATGTGGGCCTCGCTGGAGGAGAAGATTATCAGCCAACAGAGAACTGAAATCATGTCATCACACACAGTAGGACTGCAGACGATTTGGAAAATGGCGCACAAGATTATCGACCAATATTATGATCGATAATCACCCATTTAGAATCATTCAAAATGAAGTGAAAAGATCTGTGGCACTGATCTTAGTGACAGATCTTGGTGAACTACACTCTTCACTACGACCATGAAGTGACTTCATAATCTAACTGACTAAAAGACATTCAAGCCTATTACCATCAAGCCTTAAAGGGGTCATATGATGCGATTTCATTTTTTCCTTTCTCTTAGGAGTGTTACAAGCTCTTGGTGCATAAAGAAGATCTGTAAAGTTGCAAAGACTAAAGTCTCAAATCCAAAGAGATATTGGAGGGGGGGGGCAAAGAGGAACCCAAAAGAAAATATTCATAATCCCAGCATGCTTTTACACATGAGCCACAGATTAAAGCTGCACTGAAATAAATGAGCAGGGATACGGTTTATTCTGTTATTTTTTCTAATTGTGCCCTTGGTTTTGAGGGCTTCCATGGGTTTCTGTTTTGAGGGAAACATAAAGTGAACGGGTTCACCCCTGCTGGGTCTCATTTCAGGCCGGGGTTTGGGGAGGGATATGCAAATGCGTCTGTCCTGACTGCGGCCCCCTCAGAGCTGCAGCTGTAGTCTCGAGCTCACGCGCTGGACTGTTGACTGAGGCATCTGAGCGCTCGCAGCCACTCCTGCTTTAGTATTCTGCTACTGCTGCCCTGCCGCTCCGTCTTTTCTCTTTGCTTTCTCTTCTGTCTGCCTGTCTGTCTCTCTCTCGTGTGAGTGGTAAAGTGGGCAGGATGGTGCCAGAACAGCAGATGTTTCGATTGCAGCACTGCTTGCCCGCCAACAACTGAAGTCAGTGCTCCAGAGAAACCTTGTGGGACTCAGCAGGGAAAACAAGCAACACTTGACAACCTCCGGACCCTAAAGCCCAGCTGACTTTGCTCCCCTCCCCTATCCTCTCTAGCTTTTGCTTTCTATACACTTTCTCTGTGCACTTCCACTTTATGGATTTTTCTGCAAGTGCTTTTGTCAACCTTTGCTCTGCTACTTAAAGATGAGGGGGACATTCGCATACGGGGGTCTTCTGTTAGTCACACTGCTACTGACTTCAGCGGATGCCAAAGGAACTCTCTATGGAAGCCCATACAGATATAATCTACACAAGTCTGGGAGCGTCCCACAGTACAGCCCTGGAAAACCAGCGGGCCACCATAAGTAAGTCAACAGTAAAGCTTTATTTGTGTGTGTGTACTGCACAGAAGCCCAATTTATCTCGCATTAGTGTGTGTGCTCTGCACAAGGAATGAAACGTCAAGAATTGACAGCAGCGTCCTGCAGTTTCACATGCTTCATCTGCAACTATTTTAAACAACATTTTCTGATTCTTTTATAATTACACACGATTTGGTAGCATGTTTGATTAGGGAACACATATTCACTATTAATTATGAGTTGTCTCTCAATAACTCCTAATTTGCTGCTTATTAATAGTAATGTAGTTGTTAAGTGTAGGTAAGGGATAAGGCTAAAGGATCTAAAACATGGTCATGCAGACTAAGGCATTTATAAGCACTAATAAACAGCCAATATACTAGTAATCTGCATGTTAATAAGCAACTAGTTAATAGTGAACAGTGTTCCCTAATCTAAAGCGTTACTGAAGATTTTTAGCTAAAACCGTGGTCCTCAGTGATTCATAAAATGCAAATCCTTGGCTACCGTCACTTTGAGAGTAAAAAAAAAAAGCATATTAGGCAACACAAAAGTATAATACCCGTGGCTTCTGACGATATGTTGAGGTCTTATGAGTGAAATTATCAGTCTGGGCAAGAAACTGAACATTATTTACTATCTTATTAGTGTTTTATTACATTTACATCTTGGATGGCCTGAGGGTGAGTAAATTAAAAACAAATTTAAATTTTTGGGTGAACAATCCCTTAAAATACATATAAGACTACAAATTCCCACATGTATTGCCAATGAGTTTGAGGCATGGTTATGTTTAGGAGTAAGGGTAGGGTTAGGGTTAGGCTCATAGGGTTGGAGATTTTTGGGGTAAGGGTTTGGGTTACTGCTACACTCTAAAAAAATGGTGCTATATAGCACTAAAAGCATTTTTTTGGCTTGTAATCATAGGGGAACCACTTTTAGTGCTGTTTAGCACCTATTTTTACAGGTGCTGTATAGCACCTTTGTCAAATGGTGCCATGTAGAACCATAAGAGGTGCCATTTAGCACTTATAGCACATATAGCACTCAACAATGGTGCACCAATCATAACTCATCCATGGATCCCAGCATGCATTGCGACATGAATATATTATGCAGCTGCATTGCCTTAGTATTTTCTTTTATTCTTACTATTTGCTGTTATTTTTGTTGTGACTTTTTGCTGCCCTGTATTGTGATGTTCAAAAATCATATCAAAATGATCAGAATACTTTGTCACCATTGCTGAGATTCACATGCTGATTCTTCATGTCTATGCGTGACAGAATTGAAACCTCTTTATAACCCATAATTCTAAAAGTGGTTTATACAACCTTCTCACATTGTCACGTAGTATCGTAGAACTGCAATGACATAAAACTCATAAAAGAACTACATATTTTGATAAAATGCAACCAGAGACTCAGACGCATGAAATGATTTTACCATAAGTTCCTTGCCATCACATATGTGCTTTATAAACACGATTGTATCAGCCCAAGAGAAACTTATTTTTTAAACTTAAAATTAATGTCAAGGGTCAAGAGGCAACTAAAGCAAACACTATTCACCAAAATGGTAAGTTTAAAAAAAAAAAAAAAAACATCTAAACCTTAATTCTCAATAAAGAACTTCTGTTTTAGATACTCCAGAAATAAAGTCTAACTGGTCAGTAATGTGTGAAGTTGGTGTTGCTGTTTGTGGAGAGGTCCTTTTTTTCTGAGGTCAAAGGTCTCGTGGGGGCCCTGGAATATTTCCTTATGGGGGCCTTGGGGGCAAAACTAATTATATCTTCAAGAAATAGACTATATTTTAATGTTGTTTTAACCCTTTCCCCAACTAAACTAAGAGACTAAGAGAGAGTTAAAGAACCTTTAAAGAACTATACAGGGGCTTACAGGTTTTACGGTAGTGGTGCTATATAGCACCTCATCGACTGAAGAACCGCTGAAGAACCATACAGGGGCTTAACAGGTTCTTTATACGGTAGTGATGCTATATAGCACCTTAACCACTCCAAAGAACCACCGAAGCACCTTTTTTTTTAGAGTGTAGGGGTAAAATTAACAGTGCAAGTACAAAAATGAAGTAAATGCATATAAAAGTACTTTACTTGTACTTACAGTGCATCAGCATGTCTGGACATAATAAGTAAACTGCTTTAAATGGTTAATTACATAGTAGTTAAGGCCACATAATATAAAGTGTGGGCAAAAAATTGTAGGAATATGTATTTTATCTTTACACATTACAATTAGGACTATGTCTCAACTCGGCGGCTCTCAACTTTGATAATGTACCCATTCCCAAGCAATTTGAATCCGGCTCAAAGATAAGTAGTTGTCATGTTCAGAAAATCCACATCAAAGACCTGCTGGCATAGGAATTCTGAAATGCCAGTGGTATCAAATGCAGATTGCAAATGTTGGCAGTGCAGTTGTATCTGCCTCATCTGTCCTCAGTGACTCATGTTCTGAGCAGCTTCTGCTACCACACAAACTGGTTGTGTATTTGAACATGTTCATGTTTGGTCACTAGGGAAATCACAGCAGTCAACATTTTAAGGCATCTTTGGCATGTTCCTGATGCGAAGGCTGTTCCAAACGGTAGACAGCATGATTATACTGCCTTCTAAGATAACTTCTTTTGGCCACAATCTAAGGCAGCATCTACTTCAACGAGAAGGCAATCCCAGAATGCATTGCAATGAGCTCAGTGAAGATATTCCATCCAATATTGGACAAACAAAGGGAAATGTTCTCTGCTTTAACAACTTTTGTGAAATAGAAGTACACTTTAGCATACACTTAAAAAGAGTACTTATGATGGAAGGAATATAGATTAGAAAGTGAATACACTTACACATTACACAATACACACTAAACAATACACTTCATTGCAAAATAAATCTGTTTTCAAACACTTAATTGCATGTTATTTACAATTAAATGAAAAACTGTTATAGTTTAAATTTATATTAAATGCAATTTTTGACCCACTTAAGTAGGACTTATGATTACTTAGAGTATATCACTTTATATGCAATATCATAATTCTTCCATCATATTTGAAATATGGTTAAAGTGTACTACCAAATGTACTGACATGCATTTGTGGTAAACTAAAATTAACTTTGTTGTTATTTCTATTAACATATGTTTCTCATGTCTTTAAATATAGTTGTCATTACACATTAGTAGTGATGAAGTTACAATTTAATACATTTTAAATATATTAACAGTAAATGTAATAAATAACTCTACAGATAAATTGCAATGAAGTACTTTATATGTGCTTTAGTATTTTAGTCTAAAATCACATCAAAATGTTCTTCTTAAGGATGACAAAAAGATTATTAAAACATTGATTTAAAATGTACTTTAAGGTAAAGATTTAACTTAAAAAACACTATTGCAAAGTGCACATTTTAAAAGTTTACTTGAGTCATGAAAGTGAACTCGCTTTAAGTTCACTTAAGTGGTCTTTTATTTAATTAATATTATATTATCTGCAAGTACAGTTAAAAAAATAAAATAATGCACATACAATACAATTAAGCTCACTTCATTTTCACAAGGGAGTATTCGACCTGACTGAGAAGATTCACCATAGAAGAGTTTATGCTAATGTCTACTACGGTACAACGAAAAAGAAGGTGCATGTGAGGTGCGTTTTGAAGTGCACGTCGACTCGTTATTGAACACAAAAAAGGTGCAAAGCTGTCATTGGGGTGATACACTCTTAAAAATAAAGGTGCTTCACGATGCCATAGAAGAACCTTTTTGTCTAAATGGTTTCATAAAGAACCTTTAACATCTGAAGAACCTTTCTGTTTCACAAAAGCTTCTTTGTGGCGAAAGAAGGTTCTTCAGATTATAAAAAGTTAAGAAAGAGATGGTTCTTTAAAGAACCTTTGACTGAATGGTTCTTTGTGGAACCAAAAATAGTTCTTCTATGGCATTGCTTGAAGAACCTTTTAAAGCACCTTTATTTTTAAGAGTGTACCCTAGGTGCAAAAGCTAAAAGCTACATTAGGCCCTTTCGCACTGCTTTAGTTCCAAAACGAAACATACGGTACTAAAGTACTGGGACGATTTTGCGCGAACTATTTCCCAGTACCATTTAAAGGGTTGCATTCGCACTGACAGTGTGTACTAGGAAGTGACGTAAGCCGGTCGACAGCGACGTCATTTGTGCGCAGCGTTCAACAACAGAAACAAAGAACAACATTAACAACAGGAGGATGGAGGATGCTGTGATCGGAGCTGTGTTTTTGTTGTGTCTCGCAGGTTTCACAATAATGGACATGGAAAATCGACGTATACGTAAAGCGATTGAAAGAACGGAAAGGAGGACTAAGAATCTCCAACGACAACTGGCAGTGCTACATTTGCTACAAGTGCCTGCACTTCAGCGTCCGTCCATCTATCGCTGTTCTCCATACTTGCGAAATAAGTTGACATGCTTACAGTATGTTTACACGGCGTTTTAAATCATGGTGGGGGAGGGCGTTTTCATACGTGTTTGGCCAATCAATGTCTACTTGCGTCACGATTAGTACCAGTTGTGCTGGTTAGACCCTGCTCTGGAGTAGGAGCTAATTTGGTTCTCGAAAAAGGCAGTCCGGTACTAAAAAAGCACCCAGTTCCGGCAGTGCGAACACGCCGAAAAGTGGGTAGTTCCACAATTAGTTCTGGTACTATGAAAAGGTTCCTGCAGTGCGAAAGGCCCTATAATTTATATAATTTACCCCTAAAGTGTACATACAGTATTAGTACTTTAAAAGTACATACTAGTACCTTTTGGAAGGGTACCACCTCACTACTGTTTTTTCTGAGAGTGTGTATTATCTGGGCAGATAGTTAATCATATTATGTTTGATTTGTTTATTGTTTATATGATTTGTTTATATATGCTGTATACATACTGTATGTGGTATACATTAATTCCTGCAGGTGAGTTATGTGTTTACATACATTTGTCAACATTATGCATTTGAGTTA